AATAATAAATCCATGGTTGAGTGCTCCGAACGGCCTTACCGCTTATAAGCGATATCTTCAGGCAATCCTATTTAAAGTTAAACACAGAGACGTGATTACCTAATTATAATAATAAAATGATTTTTTTAAGTTACACTGTCTTATGTTAATAAAAAAAACATTGAAAAAAAACTTAATCATCAATCAATCAATAGAGCATTGATTAGATAAATAAATAAAATCGTTGGGCATGTGAAATTCCTATCAAGTCAACCGCTTTGTTACGCCGATGACGCGTGTAATATGTATTCAAATTTAAATACTTCGATTTGACCTAAACAGAGCAAGCTAAAACTGTATACAAATATTATAAACTTAAAGTTTTTTAAATTCATGCCCTCCAAGAGTTAGAAGGTAGGTAGAAGAAAATGATGTACCTATTTTCGGTATATGTCCATATGAATATTAATAAGCTCAATTCAACATTAAAATATAACGGTATAGTATCAGCTATTTAATATTTGAAGTCCCGTACCAACCATGATGCAGACTCATTTTTGCACCGATTTCTTAAAATAAAAGTTATTTGATCTAACTTTTATGTTGTGAAATCGATTATTGGAAATTAAATATTCCATCCACTGCTTTAATTAACTTCTTACACTTCACTGATTTTACATATAACTGTGTCACGTCAGCGTTACACTAACGAATATATCGTTATAGAATTTGAATTTTTAAGTAGTGTTTCTCGCTGTTTTCACCACAGCATAAATACAATTTGATAAAATGAGACAATAGAATGTATATAAATAAACAATAAAAATTCAAATTCAAAAATCATTTAATCATATACGTCAAAAAAAAGAAATTTATATGAAATGCTTCTAACTTTACACTTAGTGCCAGTTCTCAAATCAAGGGCGTAGAGCGGAAGAGAAGAACTGGAAAAGCTAACACTATGATCATTTTTTAAGGCAAGCTGCGCAGTGTGCATATAAGAGTTTATTGCCAGTTCTTCTCGCCCTTGATTTGAGAACTGGCAGTAAATGTAAAATTAGAAGTATTTAATATGTAATTATTTATTGATGCTCATAAGTGTTTTATTTATTGATGCTCATAAGTGTACATTGTGTTACCTAAATGAATAAATGATTTTGAATTTAAATTAATCATTTTTCTGTGACAACAAAACCGAAACAATTATTGTTTTGCCTGGAATGGAACTCAGAAACTACGAATGTTATGTGCGGCATGGGGACGGTATTAAATTTTACGTATTGTTAACGATAGGGCCTCAGTTGACAGCCGCCTAATAATGTACTTGAATTTTGAGCCGAAACGAGTATGCGACATACTTCCAACACATATTGGCATACCAAAGCCGAGAGTCGCATTCACATTAGCAAATTCTTGGAAAAGCCCAAAATTGCTAATAGAAATTCCTAAAAAGCCACAACAGTTCTATTTCGAATAACATTTTTCCATTTGCATGCGATCTCGGTTCTGTTTTGGACAGTTGCGAATTCAATATCATGCATTCTATAGTAGACAAGATGGGAATATAAATTTATAATTTTCGTTTTGATTTTGATTTATGAACTGACAATAGTGCTGAAGTACGCGTACAACAAGTATGAAAGATAGTAAACGTCTTTGGCCACATAACAAAGGGGGGAATATTAAAAAAGGGTGCGTGTACTTATGTACGCGCGTAAGAAGTTATACTTCTTTGGCATTATTAAAAATAGTTTTTGATTGCATGCAAATAATTAATTACAATTAAATAATCAAAGACTGGAAAAGGAGTCATTAAAGTCAATAAAGTTCAGTTTACATTTGAAAAATTAATTAAATAAATATTTATTATTATTCTCTTACATTAAACAAATAAAACACTATTTATCTTTAAAACATTTTTATTTCATTATACTATTTATTTTTAAGTGACTCTAATGTCTTCATCAGAATTTCGGTTTGTACATTTTAAATTAATCACTACTTGGGTTGTGCATCTACGAGCTTCTCCAAAACTTACTATGCTTTCTGCAACAAATAAGAGAATATTAATTTAAGCTCTGTCCATGCAAAACTTAAAATTTTTTGATAATTCATATTATAAATTTTTTAACACATTTATATTAATATAATTATATAAATGTGTTAATAAGTATAATTTTTAGCACATGCTAAAGACCTGGATAGCAACTTTCTTTTATTCTATTTAGAGATAGAAAATTTAAATATAATACCGGTGTCTTCTCCTTGTAGGTTTCTTTGGGTTGTTTGGGGTTCTTGTTGTTCAGTTCGACATGATTTTCTTTAACCTTTCTTTAATCCTACAAAATAATGAAATTGTTAAGTTATGTTGTCACTGTAGTACACCTTTGTTTGGCTTTTTAGTATTCAAGTTATGTCAAAACTGATTTATTACCTTGTATTGTTGGCTTTATTTGCTTTTGGGATATCAATTGTTTCCAAAAATAATTTTATTTGTAATAACCTGAAAGTATAGTAAATAACATCTATTAATTTAAGTATCATGGTGAGTGGTTCGCACTCATGTATTAGGTCAAGGTGATTATACCCACTGATTATATGTGGGGGGAATGGGCTCACTTCTGGCAGGACAGAGTTTCGGTACTAAAGTTCAACATTGTGTTTTGAGGTATTAAAATATCTCTAGAACTACCCTGTAGGGAATAAATAATGTTGTAACATATGCCTATGCTTGAAAGGTTGAACTTGAACATCACCATACATCATATTTATAATTAACATTCCTACCTCGACACCATCACAATCAAATTCATTGAAATCTACTTCAAACCATTGTGTCTCGAAAGGTGATGGTGGCTTTTTTCCACCTCCAGTTTTTGATGGTTCACGGTCGATAAGATGACAACTCCCTTTTTGTATTCAATTTAGTGCACTTCCACTGATTCATCAATTGTTTTTGTCTCTTGTCCTTATATTTGCTAGATTAAATCTGATGTTTTGGATTAAATAATGTTGGTCATTTTTTTGAGATGCAGGTACCTATTAAAATTTTTACTTCTCTTAAAAAGCATTGTCAAGACCTTCAATTTTCTCCTTATTAGTATTCGTGCTTAAATCTTTGTTCTCAATTTTTGATATATAGGGTCGTAGAAATTTCTAAAAACTTGCTGTAATCAAACGCTAATAAACACAAGCAATGAATAATGGTTCATGTTTCAGTTTTAATCAACAATAATACTCGATAATACATACGGATAGTTAACCTCAATTGTATTGAGACTCAGGAAGGTTAGCACAGTTTTTTCACAAATATTTTATATTATTTCACAAATATTTTGTATAATGAAAATAACTAGGTATATATTAATTTTAAACAATAATTAAAACTCCTATATTTGTTTAAAAGGTAAATGTCATTGTCAGATGTCAATTGTCTGGTCATTCAAAATTCTTGTTAAGCTGCTAAGCTAGAATATGCGTGAAGTTAGCTTCACGCATATTCTATTTCTTTTCTTGTAGTTTGTCTTATTCCCATCTCGCTCGCGCTACGCTATATCACACTGCCAATTTTGTGTCAGGTGCCGCAATTGTGAATTCCATTCTCATCAATTTTTCATAACGCGCCTAAAGAAGTACAAACTTCAAAAATATAAAACGTTTACTAGTCTCCACCCGTTATTTCATAAAGACAAAGAAAGCTTTCTAAATTTATCTAAAGCATTTAACTGTCTCCTTTTATCAAATTGTAAAGAATGTTGAAAAGAGGAGAAACAATTTACTTAAACTGTCTTAGTAATATGTTCGCGTATATGCGATAAATAAGTTGTTATATTTATTTTATTTATTTACACTTTGTTTCTTTATAATATAAAAATTTAACAAAATTACATGTAAAGGAAAGGCAACTGGCGGCCTTAGCGCTTTCGAGCGATCTCTTTCCAGGCAACCACTGTGAGAAAAGAAAAAACTGCAGAAATACATGTATTACATATAGTTGTTAGTAAAAAGAAACTAAACAGGAACAAAAAAACAAACTAAACTAATAAAGGATACATGAAAAAAAATAAAAAAGTAATAAAAAGTGCACATGAATCATTATAATTTAATTTAAGATCAGTCTTCACGTCATTTGTAGGTATTATTAAAGTTAGGGATACGATGTGGACAGGTAATGTTTGTACAGAAGAAATTTAAAGGAAGAGAAGAAGGAGCTAAGCGAATAGGGACTGGAAGTAATTCCATGGCTTAACTGCAGAGACCTAGACCTTAAAAAATTAGTCAACCTCATTATCAATCTTGACTAAAGATAGTTCCGTGATTATAACCGTGTTAGGTACTTTATGGTAACCATGGTAACAAGAACGATATTTTAGGCCATATTTTATAATCTAATTTAATTGAGTTACACTCGTATGTACATTCTCTTTATATAAAATTTTGTTAAAGCTGTAATAAAAAAGGACATAATTAGGTTAAATATAAGCCTTATGATATACATAACCGGGATACTATTTGTAATTCCCTCACAAAATCATTTAAGAGATAAACAAAAACAGAATGAAAATTTCTCCAATCCTTTGCTATTCCTATTCAATTACGTTATTTAAAATTGATGTTGCTTTCAGTGGATTGCGCTTAAATGGTATTTTCGCGGATAAAATTCAAAATAATTAAATTGTGTTTTAAAAGCGGCTAAAACAACGTTTCCAAATTTGTCAAATAGCTCGGATTTTGCAAATTCTAACGAATTACTCAAAATGTTATAAGGACTTTTGTAAGGTACTTTTTATCGGACAAAAAGGAGGTTATAAGTTTGAGGTGCATGTGATATTCTTGAATTGGAGATCATTTAAGTATTCATTAAGGCTTCCAACGTGTGCTGAATTTCTAAAGTGTCTGTATATATGTGAGAAGTATTGGCTTAATGGCTTTAGCTTGCGACACTCATCCCTGAGGTCGTAGGTTAAAAAACCTGCTTGCTTATTATAAAAACATTTGATCAACAGATACAGAAATATAATATGGTAGCGCCACTGGTATTTTTATGTTTAAATACCTTAATATATTATTAAATAATTTTGTGTTTACTTAAAAAAATGTTTGTTATATGATTCATGCCTGGGATAGTAAAACAAATGAAGAAACAATGTCGCATTACGTCTAATCACAGACACGCGAAACAATTCGTGTTGTCATTTGGCCATAGTTTATAGGAACTCCCCTGGTAACTCTATCGTATAACTATTACCTTAGTTAATATTTTGAAATATAAATTTAGAACAGGAAATCGTACGGAATTACGCTATGTTCCATGTTTACTTAACAAGTTTATTATTAAAGGCGACTCACCTACTAAAATGGGTTTCCATGGGCGGCTTCCGGAGAAAAAAAGAAAGTCTTAATCTAGAAGGAGGTAGTCTAGGTTATGTGTTATTAAATTTTTAACCAGTTTACAACTTAGTGGACAATTTTTAAAAATTACACGGGAGTAAACATATTTTTCACGTCAAATGTACGGAAATTAAATTCTCAGCTGTCCGCCGTAATACAAGCTTAGCGAACAGACATTTATTGAAAAATGTTACCGTAATATTAAGCTGAAGAAGCTATTACGATGAACTAAGTATTAGTTGTATAGAGATACTGTCAAAGGAGGCTTTAAATAGTAAAGTTTCTACCTACGCCTTGGTAAACGTGAGTTTGACACGGTTTTAAAATTAATAAGATATTTATGTTTCACTCTGAATGTATCTTATGATCTAAAGCTTTTAATCCGTACGGCGAAGTTATGAGATGCATTTACTTATGCTGTACCTACTCTAAGCACTACATAACGGATTTTGTATTTAAAGCAAGATAGATCTGTGTAGGTTTTCCTATCCTACTTATTCTAAAATTATAAAATAGCAAACGGCAAGTTCTATCCCGCTCGAATTATACTATACATTTAATTACAGTTTTTATAGGTATTTTATTAATATAATAGGGAAACCATTTTTATTCCATACTCATCCAAAACCTCCCAATTTAATAGACACATCGCTTTTACTAGTAGCTTTGGTTTTTATATATTATTTGGTGATTTAAATCACTCTTTTCCTTTTAACAAAACATAAAATTTTGGGTTTAATGTAGGAACAATTTCTACACGGATCTTAATGTCACTTGACATGTTTATAGTCTATAGTTGAAGTGAGAATATGGCGAAGTCGTTAAGACGTCCTATGCGTAAAAACATGTTCAATTAAATCCTTTTACATCACGGGATTTTATTTTTAATTACAACATACATAGAACAAGTGCTTGATAATGCCCACGCCCACCAAAGATCATTAATTGAAAACAGTAATATCTATAAAATAAAGTCATCGTTATTAAGTTTCTTTTTTTACTAAAGTATTTTTTTTGTTTGCCCGTTAGTTCGAAACAAGATCCTTCAACAGCACAGGAGTATCAGTAATAAACAGTTCCTGTGACCCTCTTCTATGTGCAATCATGGTGAGGCCCGAACCCGGAACTGCGAGTTACACGTGCGAGGTTTCCAGTGAGGGGCCACGGTTTGCTGTTGACCGGCGATCTGCCAATATGACGCTTTCTGGTAAGAAGTTTAAAACATTCTTAACTCTTTATAAGTTCAATAAGAAGCTACGTTTTTAGAGGTACCATATGAAAATGTACAAGTAAATACTTTATGTTAATATAAACCTGTTATGTTATTTGGTTGCTTGGAAGAGATTGCGTAGTACGGATAATGCTGCCATAACATCGGTCAAATTCGATGTTTTAGTATAATTTATCACATTATGAGTATACAAAGTCGGATAAAACATATTATCTAACTTGTATTTAATAATAAACGTTTGGAAAAACTGTCCGAATACTAAACTGCAATCAGCTACTTCAAATATAACAGAAATATTCAACATGAATTCCAATTTCTCACGATACTTTAAAAGTAATATAAAAGTATGATGCGAAAGTAAAAAAAGAATTATACAAACTCTACCAAGAATTCTTTTTTAATATCTCCAATGGAATATATCGAATGTCCGAGTTTATAAAGTATCCACTTCTGAAGAAAATTGTATCTTTAATAAAAGATGCTTAAGAAATATTGTCTGTTATTAAATCTAGGATCTAATATAGTTCTGTTAATTATAAAACCTACCTTGTAATATATAATAATAATAATTTACCTTCACAGGTAAATATTTTGGACGTGGTTTTGCTTTTTGTTCTTTGCTGGTTTTGATGATTGTGCTATCTAATCATTTCAATAGATTCATAAATACATTGACGGCGTATGTTGGCAGCACCAGCCCCTCCCCCCCCCCCCCCCCCCCCCCCCCCCGCCGCGGCCCCCGGGCCCCCCGCGCGGCGGGCGGGGGGGGTGGCGCGGGGGGGGGGGGGCGGGGGGCGCCCCGGGGGGGGGCGGGGGGGCGGGGCATAGGTTTTTCATATTTGGTACAATTTTCACGAAAAACTTCGTTCTTTATGTATTTTTCTTCTTCTGTTTAGCTCCAACCACGCGCGCTTTAACTTTCAGATATAATATTTACAATTTTCTTTTGTGGTTAACAGTTTGATTTTATATAAAGTTTGTGTTATTTATACATCATATTTTGTCAGTATATAACAACAATGATGGTTTGTAAAGAGTTCTCAATTCGTAGAAAACGTAAGTAAGTACGTCATTTGAAGCTCATTTCATTTTTTTTTTCCAAAAACAGTTTCAAAATAGATTTTTACAAATTATAAACAAACTGTGTCATTAGTTGTCGGTTGCTTTGTGAATGATAATGCATTTTTTTAGTGCTGCCGGAGTATGAGCCGTTAATAACGGGATTACCCACCATAGTCCAAGCCGGTGAGCAAGCCTTTGTCAACTGTACATCAGACTACTCGCTACCCCCAGCCAGGATAGACTGGTTTGTTGACGGAGAAATCCAAGAGGTTTGTATGACAATTATTAAAAATTTCTACACGAAGTTTAACTGAGGTTACATTAAAACCTATTAAAAAAAATCCCTGTTGGAACGTCTTTTGGTCAATATAACGTCAATGTTGACTGCTACCCGAACTAGTCGAGAATATTACAATTATAATATAACGTAATTTTGGCAGTAAATATAAAAATAACGTATTTATTTATTTATTTCGTAATCTAACAGCTCACATAAATTATATATAATAACAAACAGTTACACTGAATATAGCCAGATATGGAATATATAATAGGTACATTTAACTACAAAAAGGTTCAAAAATTTACAAAAGGAAACAAACAAATAAAAACTATTCAATAATTAAAATGGTACCTAATTTGCTGTGTTGTATGATGGTGTAAAAGTGAGGGTATGTACTGAGTTGGGAAGTTCATGATGATTAAATAAATATATAATAGATTAAAAATGTCGACGTTTCGTAAACGAAAACGGGACATCTATAATCAATAATGTTTATATCCGTTAAAGATGATTTATTTCAATGTGTAGTAAATAAAAGATGAGAAGAATATTTTAATCTCTCCTGTAGTATAAACACTGTCAACGGTTCAAATAAACGATCCTCTTTCCGGTAAAAACTCTGAAAGCGAATTTAACTTCATATACTTCTAGTAACTGAATGTCAGTGAAGTATGTATTAAGCTATCTTGCGCAGTTTTATTTACTACGCCTCATGAATATCGGCTGGGAAAGGGTTTATATTGTCGCAAGTGTCATACATGGATTATCGTATCTTCGTCAAGTGAAACTTTATAGTGACATTGGAACAATTCAGCTCAAATAGATTTTTATAGGCTTTTTATTTTTTGACGTAACGAACTTCTGTAAAATAGAATCTTTGATTTTAAAGTATCTATATAATTTAAAAACCAACTTAAAATAACCGAAGTCGGATTCAATAAATTACTTTTTAATGCTTAATTATTAGATAGATTGGATTAAGTAGGTTTTGAACGTAGTTACTAAATACAATATACTATATATATAGCTGAGCTAAATAAATTATTACTTCCGGAATAAATCCTGTAGTCCTAAAATTGTACAAATAATACTAACTAAATTCATAAATGAAGCCCATTTGACATTTAGACACCCTTATTGTCGAATTGTGCTTAATATTAAACCATTGTTATAACGAATGATTGGTTATTGAGAAATATTACAGATATTTTTGCTAAATAATACAGTTAAGTTTTTTATTTTGAATTCTTCTGACCAGGAGTCAAAACAGTTGTTATCAAAATATATATTATTTATTCATGTAGGTAACTTAATGTACTCATTAACGTCGGTAAATTATTGCTTCTAAATTTAGCTTTAGTGCTAGTTCTCAAATCAAGAGCGTAGAACAGGCTAGAAGAACTGGCAATATGCTCTTATATGCACACCTTGCCTTAAAAAGTGATGATATTAGTTATTGTTTATTTATAAAGCTAATATATAATATTAATATAATATTAAACTAATATATAATATAATATTGTTACAACGAATAACCATTGTTATAACGAATGATTGATTATTGAGAAATATTTAAAGATATTTTTGCTAAATAATAGAGTTAAGTTTTTTATTTTGAATTCTTCTGACCAGGAGTCAAAACAGTTGTTATCAAAATATATATTATTTATTCATGTAGGTAACTTTATGTACTCATTAACGTCGGTAAATTATTGTTTCTAAATTTAGCTTTAGTGCCAGTTCTCAAATCAAGAGCGTAGAACAGGCTAGAAGAACTGGCAATAGGCTAAATCTTATACCTTATAAAATTATAGAAATATTATTATAAAATTATATTGTCTCTTTTTATCAAATTGTATTAATGCTGTGGTGAAAAGAGAAGAAACACATTACTTATAACTTCTAATTCTATAGCGGTATATTAGCAATAAACTCTCCGTCACTCTTAAATCGCCAAGTTATTTTTTACACAAAATGTTTTAGAGCAGAGTAAAATAAAATACAATGAAAGAACGTAAGTTCTGACCGAAGACACCTTTATCACGAATACAAGTTCTACGGTATGAAGGTTTTATTATCTTGCCACGGCTTTGCAACAAAATAATAAGTCTGAGTTGTATAGCAATCAAGAACAATGGTGCGAGTTAAGTCCATTACACAAAAAATGTACAAGAAACGTATAAAGAAAGAATGATTATCTCATTCTAGTTGGACACATTTCGGACATACCATTCATACTTTTTAATCAAATATAGATATTATTCTTTCACTTCATCAATGGTTATACAGCCCCTTGCGGGCCTCGCGCGCCTTCACACTTCGCCATCGCAATCTATCTAGAGCTTCCCGCGTCCAATGCGAACCCCTATTGTTTCGAGGTCCATGACAACTCCATCCCACCAACGCAGCCTCGGTCTACCGGGTTTTCTTTTGCTACCGGATTGTGAGTTTAGTAAGGACCTTGGAGTTCTGTCGTTCGCCATTCGGTGCACATGTCCCAGTCACTTGAGCCTGTTGCACTTTATGAATTGGACGATGTTGGCGTCGTCTAGGATGTTATAAAGTTCTTCATTGTAGCGGATACGCCAAACACCGTCGTCGCAAACAGGACCAAAGAATCTTCCGCTCGAAAATAAGGAGAGAGATCTCGTCTTTTTTGCTAAGGGGCCAAGTTTCAGAACCATAAGTGAGCACTGGTCGCAGCAGAGTTTTGTACTGAACAAGCTTGGTATTCTTCCCGAGAAGTCGCGATTGGAAATATCTACGAAGGCCAAAGTAGCAGCGGTTTGCCATCATGATGCGTCTACTGATCTCGCGGCGGGGATTGTTATCACTAGTCACCATTGAGCCCAAGTAAATTCCTCACATTGTTCAAAGCTTACATCTTCCATTCCATACCATCTTTGTTTCACTTATATTTAAATATAATTATATAGTACTATCCTTTAACGTACTTCTGAATATCTGTTAAATGTGAGTTTTTCTTAGTAATAGAAAAACTAATGCTTATGTATTAGTAAACTTAATATTACATTCATAAAAAAGCCTCTATTGATTTTATTTACGGCTTTAATAAGAAAAATGAAGAATGTATTCTATTTCACTCACGTGCTATACGTTTATCTTATAAAACCGACAAGAAAACTTCCTTTACATATTTCAGACTACAAAGAACAATAACGCATGGAGGGACTTTTATCACGCACAAAACGCGTGTTAGCGCCGGAAGTGAGACGGTAGAACCGAAAGCATTTTGATTATTTCCGTCTTGGGGAAGGTGGAATTTGGCTCAAATCACTATGTGGCACGTGACGCCATAATGTTTGGGGAAATAAGAATGTTTTGGGGGCATATAAAAAGCTTCCGTTTGAACTTCACACGCATGGTATTTATGTGGCATTTAAAATAATACGTCTTATATAGAGGTGTGTGGAAGATATGTTTAAGGTAACTGAGTTGTATATATGTATATTTTCCTATTTTCCGATTTTTACTAATGGTAGGGGAGCCCAAGAGGGGATTTCGGGATTTACTAAAGCGCGGCAGATTAATATACAGGGGGATAGCTTGTACTCGGTTAAGTACCTCCACAAAACATGAGGTCCATATATAAGGCCGCCTGTGAAGGAGACAGGATCAGATTAGTAAAAAAAAATTGACCATCAGAAATTCCCGAGCGCATCAGATTAAGGTAGGGTGAGTTAATTACATCCTAAAAAGTGTATATTCCACTAATCTGACAATTTGAGAGTGACGGAAAAAAAGGGAGGGCAACAAAGTTGTAAAAAAAAACGTCATCTCGACATTCTCGAGCGTAGCTAATTTTTTTTTTTTTTGAAGGAAATAATTCAAGAATAATGAAAAATATATAATCTGACGATTTCCGCAAGCCGAAATAACAAAAATTCGTCGATAAAGTTAAATGCGTGCAGCTGCGTGATGCCTACATTTCCTTAAACCGATCGGAATCTACTAAACGGCGTTCTAAATATTTCCCTCAAAATTACATTTCCTGTGAATTTGAACCGATTCGAAACGATAGATTTTGAGAAATTATGAAAAATCTTAAAAAATTAAGAAATATTTTTTTTTAAGTGGTTTCTTTATCGATCAACTTCAAAAACTAATCCGCCTTTGAGCTTGAAAAACCACGTTGATCGCCACTAAGCTGGTCAAAAGCGGTTGATTCGTTCGAGAGATATCGTGAACGAAAGAAACCCGAAAAAGTGTTTATTCGGGATTACTCCGAAATTTGTGGTTCGATCAATTAAAATTGCAAAATTACTTATGAGGATGATAAAACTGCGTCGAATGCCGCCAACCGCGTGAAAATTGCTTGATCCATTCAAATGTTATTGCGGTTTGAAAATTCCAAAAATAGTGTTCTATGAAACTTCTATCAGACTTTCGAGCTGGGAGAGCTCAAATGCATAGAAATTTATTTCTTTGAACTCAGCGAGCTCAAAATATCAATTTTAAGCGCCCAGGAATGGAATTAGCGGGAAGTTGCAGGGATGGCCCTTTAGGTGAACCGTTTTTCTAAATTTTTTTTGTCAGATCAGGCGAATCCCTCTAGATAATCGTCAGATTATGAGACAGTACGTTTAGAACATAAAGATGAACCACATATATCTTAATCTGACGCGCTTGAGTATTTCAAAATTGCGATTTTTTTTGCAAATTATGAAAATGGCTGTGGGTTTGCGTCCCATCGAAATCGTCAGATTAGTGAATGAGAGCTTTTTTTGGTGCACTTAACACTCCCTTAGAAAATCTGACGCGCTCGATAAAATTATTTTTTTTTCATTTTCAACCCTTAAATACAACCACCCGCATCATGCAAACGATCAGATTAACATACGTACATTATTAAAAATACGTAGGGCATAGATGCTATCAATATCTGACGCGCTCGAGGATGTCCATGCAACAGTTTTTTTTACATATTTAACTATCTATAGCCGCTTCCCCCACCGATGAAAAGGA